TTTTATCTGTTTCAGTTTAGTTCTCTCTCTCCATTTGTAGGTACACTCATCTGTTTTCCCCCTTACTCCTCTCTCTCTCCACCCCCCTCATCCCCCCACTGTCTGCTCCATTCTCTTCCCTCTGCTAAGTACATTTTATTTCAGGGAGTAAACCTACAGCCCCACTGCACAGATTCCAAGGCAGTGGGAAGTGGTTTTCAGATTATCCATACACCTGTTGGCGAATACCAGGACCTGCAGATAGATTTTAAATCATAGCTCCCCTCCTAAGTATATCTCAAAACTTCAAAAAGGACCACCCCCAACCTACAGTGCAACTCCAGAATTGAACAAAGTAAGAGGGCATACATAAAGAATAGGAAATTGAACAAACAGAAGTAAAAGCAAACCTTCTACCCCCGAATAACAGAATTAAAGAAGACAGTGATGTGGAGGGAAGGAAAAAATAGGGAAGGGAAAAAACCCACACAAATGAAGAAAAACCAAAAGAAAAATATAGGTCTCACACAGACCCCTGGGAGATCAGACACTGAGAAAACAGATTCCGGAACACAAACAATGAAGAGCCCCCAGAATGACTGGTCAGATGCAACAAACCCAGACATCAAGACATTAATAGAGAGAATTAAAAAAATTGAGGAGAGACAAGAGGAAAATAGGAAGGAGCTGATGTCAGAAATAACAGTAGTAAAGAATGCTGTGATGGAAATAAATAACAAACTAATAAGCATGGAAAGCAGAATTAGCCAAGCAGAAGAAAGAATCTCCGAGCTCAAAGATCAAAACACAGAAATAACCCAAACTGTCAAAAGCATAGAAAAGAAGCTCAAAAAGACAGAACAAAACCTTCAAGAGATGAATGATCACTTCAAGAGACTGAACTGAAGGGTAATTGGCCTTTCTGAGGCATAGAGAGAAACAGAGGTCACACTGGAACAAACATTTCATGATATCATTCAAGAAAACTTCCCTCATCTCATCAAGGATAAAAAATTCAAACACAAGAGATTCAGAGAACCCCTGCAAGACAACAAATGAGAAGACCAACTCCCAGACATATAATAATTCACCTAAACAAAGTAGGTATAAAAGAAAAAATCCTAAAGGCTGCAAGAGAAAAAGGTCAGACTATGTACTGTGGAAAACCAATTAGAATAGCAGCAGATTTATCTACAGAAACTCTCCAGGCTAGGAGAGCTTGGAGCCCTATCTTCAAGGTTCTAAAAGGTCAACAATTTCAACTGAGAATAACCTACCCAGCCAAGCTAAGCTGCATCAGTGAGGGGGAATTGAAATCTTTCCCAGATATTCCATTACTAAGAACCTACGCTGCCACAAGACCACCTCTACAGGAAACACTTAAGAAAGTATTGAACACAGAAAAAAAGAACAACAACGTTCTTCACAAGAGTACAGGCAAAAGATTAAAAACACACATGATCCAACTCTAAAACCAAAATAAAGACAACACACAAAGAGGAAGAACAACAACTCTGTAAGAACATTATGATAGGGATCAACTCTCACATTTCAATAATTAGTTTGAATGTGAACGGACTAAATGCACCACTGAAAAGACATAGAATGGCAAAATGGATAAAATATCACCAGGCAACAATCTATTGCCTTCAAGAGACTCACCTCACTAGAAAGGACACTCACAGACTCAAAGTAAGAGGATGGGAAATAAATTTTCAGGCGAATGGAGCACAAAAGAAAAGAGGAGTCACAATCTTAATCTCAGACAAAATACCCTTTAAGCTATCAAAAATTAAAAAAGATACAGAAGGCCACTACATAATGATAAAAGGTTCAATTCATCAACAAGAAATATCCATCCTAAACATATATGCAACAAACATAGGAGCACCAACTTTCATAAAGGAGCTCCTAGGTAAACTAAAAAAGATATTGACTCCAATACCATCATAGCTGGGAACTTTAATATCCCACTCACAACCTTAGACAGATCATCAGGACAAAAAATCAGCAATGAGATCTGAAACCTCAATGTGACTCTTGATCAAATGAACTTAATTGATACCTACAGAACCCTCCATCCAAAGACCACAGAATACACATTCTACTCATCACTGCATGGAATACTCTAAGATTGACCACATACTTGGCCATAAATCAAGCATAAGCAAATTTAAAAAGACTGAAATTTTACCATGCACCTTCTTGGACCACAGTGGAATAAAAATAAACATTAACACCAACAAGGTCCCCCCAAAACCCACAAAGACATGGACACTAAACAGCATGATGCTAAACAACTCCTGGGTCAATGATGAAATCAAAAGAGAGATTAAAAGATACCTGGAAGCAAATGAAAATGAAGAAACATCTTACCAAAATCACTGGGATGCCATAAAAGCTGTAGTAAGAGGGGAACTTATATCCCTACAAACGCACATGAAGAAATGGAACATCACAAATTAACAGTGTAAGAAGCCACCTAAAAACACTGGAAAAGCAAGACCACAAAAGCCCTAATTTCAGCAGAGGAATCCAGATCACCAAAACAAAATCCCATAACCAGGACATAGAAGACAAAAAGATAATACAAAAAATGAATGAAATAAAAAGCTGGTTCTTCAAAAGGATAAACAAGATTAATAGTCCCCTAGCTAGATTGACCAAAAAAAAAAAAAGAGAGAAAAAGCCCAAATAAACACAATCAGAAACACAAAAGATGATCTTGAAGAAATACAAAAGATCATTAGAGACTACTATGTACACTTGTATGGAAACAAACTTGAAAACCTTTCAGAAATGGAGGACTTTCTGTCATCACACAACCTGCCTAGGTTGAAACAAGAAGAAATTGAGGCCCTAAATAGACCAATAACAATCAAGGAAACTGACTACATAATAAGAAAACTACCTACCAAAAAAAGCCCTGGAGCAGATGGCTTTCCAGCAGAATTCTACAAGACATTTAAGGAAGAGCTTATATCAATCTTACTGAAGGTATTTCAGGTGATTGAGAAATATGGAACTCTTCCCAAATCATTTTATGAAGCCAACATCACATTGATACTCAAGCCAGGTAAAGACCCAACAAAGAAAGAGAACTACAGGCCAATATCTTTGATGAACATAGATACTAAAATTCTCAATAAGATCCTAGCAAACCAGATTCAACACCACATCTCAAAAATCATCCATCATGACCAAGTAAGCTTCATCCCTGGGATGCAAGGCTGGTTCAACATTCGTAAAACCATAAATGTAATTAAATACATCAGAAGATTTCAAATAAAAAACCACATGATTATATCATTAGATGCAGAAGAAGCTTTTCATAAAATCCAGCACTGCTTCTTGATAAAAACCCTTGAACATCTAGGTATACGGGGAACATACCTCAAAATAGTAAAAGCCATCTATGAGAAACCCACAGCCAACATACTCCTAAATGTACAAAACTGGAACCATTTGCACTGAAACTGGAACAAGACAAGGATGCCCACTCTCACCCCTCCTGTTCAATATAGTATTGGAAGTCTTGGCTAGAGAAATCAGAGAAGGCAATCAGGGGTATTCAAATAGTAAAAGAGGAAGTCAAGCTATCTCTCTTTGCAGATGACAAGTTTGCGTACCTTGAAAACCCAAGAGAATCTATCAAAAACCTCCTTACACTGATAAAGGACTTTGGCAAAGTCTCAGGATATAAAATAAATGTGCAAAAGACAATTGCATTTCTTTACACCAATAATAAGCAAACAGAAACCCAAATAAAAAGCACAATTCCATTCACAGTAGCCACAAAAAAAATGAAATACCTTGGCATCTTCTTACCAGAAATGGGAAAGACCTTTACAATGAAAACTACAAAACACTGCTCAAAGAAATCAAAGATGACACAAACAAATGGAAAAATATCCCATGTTCATGGATTGGAAGAATCAACATTGTGAAGATGTCCATCTTACTTAAGGCAATCTACAAATTCAATGCAATACCCATCAAATTACCATGAACATTCTTCTCAGACCTAGAAAAAACAACACAGGAATTTATTTGGAAACACAAACGACCAAGAATAGCCCAAACGATCCTCAGCAAAACAAACAAACAAACAAACAAAAAAACAAAGCAGGTGGTATCACATTACCAGGCTTTAAATTTTACTATAAAGCTACAATCATCAAACCCGTTTGGTATTGGTACAGGAATAGGCATATAGATCAATGGAATAGAATTGAGATTCCAGAAGCAAAACCTCAATTTCTCAACCAACTCATCTTCGACAAAGCCTCCACCACCTACCACTGGGGAGAGGAGAACCTGTTCAATAAATGATGCTGGGAAAACTGGCTGACCACATGCAGAAGATTGAAACAGAACCCCTATCTATCCCCATACACAAAAATTAACTCTAAATGGATCAGTGACCTAAATATAAAACCTCAAACCATAAGAACCTTAGAAAATGAAGTACATACCCTCATGGATATTGGAACTGGCATCCAATTCCTGAATAAAACCCGAAACCCACAGGCCATAAGAGATAAGATAGACAAGTGGGACCTCATTAAACTGACAAGCTTCTGCAAAGCCAAAGAAACCATCAAGAGAGCAGTTGCTGCTCCCCCCAAGGAGTTATTTTGGGGTGACTGGAAGCAGTGGCGGCAGCGGCAGGAGGGACTTTCCTCGGGCCTCCGTTCCCGGGAGGGGGCGTGGTGTCGAGGCTGCCAGTCCAGCCCTAGAATCAGCCATTTCTTCAAGAAGCTCTTGGTTTCTTTTATTGGAATCACAACCAACTTTATTCTAATTCACATCAGCAACAGCAACTTGTGATTGGCACAACCGGAAACTCAGTTGCACGTCCCACATCAATGCACTGCCAATGAAAAATAAAACTGGACCTTAAGAGTACAGGAGGAAGTGACCCATACGCCTTTAATGTTGAATATGCATCATGAAGAGATGACATCTGAATAAGACTAGAAGAACCTCAGCAGTTGTAGTTGAAACAAAAAGCTAAAACCAGGGTTATATCCTGTGTTGTGACCTCATGGTTTAAGTGGGAATAAAGATGAGTATAAGCAGTGATGAGGTCAACTTCTTGGTATATAGATACTTGCAAGAGTCAGGATTTTCTCATTCAGCATTTACCTTTGGTATAGAAAGCCATATCAGTCAGTCCAATATAAACGGTGCCCTCGTCCCACCTGCTGCATTGATTTCTATCATTCAGAAAGGTCTACAGTATGTAGAGGCAGAAGTTAGTATCAATGAGGTTGGTACCTTGTTGGACGGTTGACCAATAGAGTCTCTGTCCCTGATAGATGCCTGATGCCTGATGTAGTACAAACACGACAGCAAGCGTACAGAGATAAGCTGGCCCAGCAACAGGCCGGAGTTGCAGCTGCCGCTGCCACCACCACAAACCAGCAGGGATCTGCAAAAAATGGAGAAAACACAGCCAACGGGGAGGAGAATGGAGCGCATGCTACAGCAAATAATCACACTGATATGATGGAAGTGGATGGGGATGTTGAAATCCCTAACAAAGCAGTCGTGTTGCGGGGCCACGAATCTGAAGTTTTCATCTGTGCCCGGAACCCTGCTAGTGATCTGGCATCGGGGTCTGGAGACTCAAACAGCAAGAATATGGAATCTTAGTGAAAATAGCACTAGCGGCTCCACACAGTTAGTACTTAGACATTGTATACAAGAAGGAGGACGAGATGTTCCAAGCAACAAGGATGTCACATCTCTCGATTGGAATAGTGAAGGTACACTTCTAGCAACGGGCTCATATGATGGATTTGCCAGAATATGGACTAAAAATGGGAACCTTGCTAGCACCTTGAGACAGCATAAAGGCCCTATATTTGCATTGAAGTGGAATAAGAAAGGAAATTTTATTCTAAGTGCTGGAGTAGATAAGACTACAATTATTTGGGATGCACACACTGGAGAAGCCAAGCAACAATTTCTGTTTCATTCAGCACCAGCATTGGATGTTGACTGGCAGAGCAACAACACCTTTGCTTCTTGTAGTACAGATATGTGCATTCATATCTGTAAATTAGGACAAGACAGACCTATTAAAATATTCCAAGGACATACGAATGAAGTAAATGCTATCAAATGGGACCCAACTGGCAACCTCCTGGCCTCCTGTTCTGATGACATGACTCTGAAGATATGGAATATGAAACAAGACAATTCTGTTCATGATTTGCAAGCACATAATAAAGAAATTTATGCTATCAAATGGAGTCCAACAGGACCAGGAACAAATAATCCAAATGCCAACCTCATGTTAGCAAGTGCATCCTTTGATTCTACTGTTAGGTTATGGGATGTAGACCGAGGGATTTGCATCCATACTTTGACAAAACACCAAGAACCTGTGTACAGTGTAGCTTTCAGTCCTGATGACAGGTATCTGGCAAGTGGTTCTTTTGACAAATGTGTGCACATCTGGAACACACAGACAGGTGCTCTAGTTCACAGTTATAGGGGAACAGGTGGAATTTTTGAAGTTTGCTGGAATGCAACAGGAGACAAAGTTGGAGCCAGTGCATTAGATGGTTCAGTTTGTGTATTAGACCTTTGGAAATAGCGCTAATAGTTGGAAGCTGTGGACCGACTATGAATGTGTACATAGCCAAAATGACTGTCCCTGACCCATGTACTGCTATAGTCCCACTAAAATCTAAAAGAAATATATACATACAGTGTATATAAACAAAATTGCACCCTGAAGATGACAGAGTTTTGTCACAGCTTGTGAATTCTGTTCACCAAGTGCTGGAATCTAATCTGCTGTGCCCCTAAAAATAGCATTTAGAAGTTTTGGATATGAAAAACAGAAGAAAGAAAAATATACATTATTAAAGCAGACCATACATGTACCAGTTTTTGGATACTAATGACAACCTTGTTTTTCCTCTTTGAATCAGCAGACACCATGGATTATATTCTTTTTTCCCTTTGGTAGTGAGCAGTTTGTATGTACAGAGAAAATGGATGTTAAAAACTTGAAGCAGTAGTTTGTTCTTGCTTTTACAGTTTGGTTTTGGTTTAGATTATGGATGCATGAAGTAAGGGAGTGAATCAGTTTCTTGTTTATATTTTTTCACCTTTTAAGCAACAAAAAAATTCTTAAAAATACTTTAATGCATTCTTTTGAAGAGGTAGATGTTTGGTACATTTTATGGCTCCCAGAGCATTTATTCAATTGGTGCATGTTGTAGAAGCGGGAATTGGAAATTAAATGAAAACATATGACTTTGGTCATGTCAATCCATAAGACACATCAGTAAAAGGGTATTATGCTCTGTTTTTGTTTTGTTTCTTGTTTTGTTTTGTTTTTTTTCTTTTTGGTTATGTGGCTTAAATGCAATAGTTTCTTTTTTGGGACATATTTCTGCCAATTAAAGACTAGAAGGGCACAAAATGTTTGTTAAAAAAAATACCATAGAGAAGATAACATTAAAAAAAAAATCTTCTGATGTTTTGTAGCCATAGCTAAATTATGGTAAAAATGTGCACTATTGTGAAGGAGCAAAGTAGTTTTGGGTTTTTGTTGTTTGTTTGTTTTGCTTTGTTTTTAGAGAGATTAAAATGTTTCTGGATAAGGATTAGCTTCTCAAAGTGTCCATCATTCTGTGTAGAAGCTTAAATATGTAATGTAACCAAACTCCAGTATTAAAAATCTCTCATGTTGTTTTTCTTTATACAAAGCAAGATAACGGCATATAACACTGCCACATATGGCAAAATGTTTGCTACCTTAGTTTAAAAAACAATCTTTAAAACAAAAGACTTGCTTCAAGGTTCTTCTAAACAGCAGTGATTCAGAATTTTTTT